CTGAATATGAGCTGCCCTGGGGGCTTATTCCAGGAGTTTTTGCAGTAGACAGGGTGTCTCAGGAGCTAAGCACAATGCACGACAGACACCAAAAACCAGACACCCTTTGGGAACTTGACCCTGTCTCCAGGCTGACCCAGAAGCAGCAATCCTCAAAGCAAGCCCAGGGAAGAGTAATTGCTCTGAGCTTCATTTAATCAGCCAGGGTAATTAGGTGACTTATGAAGGACATGTGTGCCTGGAGGCTGCTCTGGTTTTCCCCAGGGTTCTCTGACACAAGACCAAAAATCCTTTGCAACAGCGATGTGAAGCCAGTGGCTGCAAGGAGCATCCTCTGGCCAGTGAACACCCCCGAATGCTTGTCCTTCCCAGCTCCTGCAGGCGTAGCCCGCTGGGTGCACTGTGTCAGGAACACAGCCATTGTGCTTCCACTGCCTGAATCTCTGAGAGATGCCTTTGATGTAAGAAAGGAGACAGAAAGGTGAAATGCTCAGCTGTCCCACTTACTGCAGGGAAAGCCAGGCGAGGAGAGCAGCCTTATTTTTGGAACCTGCTCCACGTCTGCATTTCTGCTCTGGGGCTAGGGAACCTCAGGGCTGGATTTGCCTGATACTTAGGGCCATGGATGCCATTGGCCCTTCTGTGCTGCTGCTCTCTCAGGGTTCCACTATCTGCAGGTTGGCCAATCTGTGAGCTGCACGGGCATGCAGCCCCTCTCTGCTCCATCATTGCTGGGATGCAGCAGCTAAGCAAGGTTCGCCAGGCATTTTTCCTCCAGTCCAGAGCTTTGGTTCCAAAGGAGAGAGTTTTTTCGCCAAGGACAAGTGTGGGCATTGGTCCTGCTGTGATTTATCTGCACTAAGGCCAGGGTTTGTCTCTCCATCTGGGCTGTTTTGCAGCAGCCTGGGCGGAGGCGAAAGCACCAGGGGAGATGCCTTTTTTGGCTGGTGGGTTGGTAGTTTGTTTTAATACTTTTTCTTCCTAACTGAGAGAGTGGGTTCTGAAAAAAGTGGCTCCCCTAAAGCACCTCTGCCTTTGCAGACCACGCTGGGCTGATGATTATATGGGATAAACACATTCCTTTTGACTAAATCCCAGTGATGGTTCTGGAGTGGAGGCTGGAAACCCCCACCGCATGCTTCTCTCCAGCTGTGCAGGGAGGCCTGGAAAGGTGACAGGGACTTCCTGAGGTTTTTGGTGAAATGAGTCAGCATGGCACGCATCCAGGTGGGCATGGCTGGCGGGCTGGGCAGAAGCAAGCTGGCAGTGGCACGGGGAGGAAGCATGGCAAGACTGTGTGGTGGGGACTTGCCCAGGGCACGTCTATGGGAGAGCAGGGATGTGTTCTGCTGACCTTTGGGCTACCATTCTGCTTTCTGAAGCAGCCACGCACCAAAACTGAGCTCTCTCCAGGGCAGGCAGGGGGAGATGCTCCAGCCCGGAAGTGCTGGTACAAGGGGCCATGCCTCATCCTTCTTCAGGGTTGCCTGTGCCATGTGGCACAGCTGGTGTCTCGGTGCCCTCTGCCCACGTGTGTGCTGGGAAGGGCGAATGACCCTGGGGGTGGCTGCTGCTTCTGATAATCTTCATTCCCAAGAAGCTGCCATGAGTCACTCACTCTCTCACATACAGACACCTAAGTACTCACAAAAAAAGTCCCATAAGACATGGCTTATTGTTCTGACTCATTTTTATCTGCCCCAGCCCCATGTTGACCTCTGAGGACTGCACAATTCAGGGAAACAACCAGTGCTTTCTGCATGCATGTGGATCCTTGGCTTTGGCCAAGCAGGTTTCTCTGGGACTCTCAGTGGCAGAAGCCTGTTGTGGTTTCCCATCACATTTGCATGGGAGGACAACGCCCTGGTGCTGTCTCACAGGGAGGTTTGGGGATGGGCAGATGTGCTCATGCTATGTCTCACTCTAGGCAGGACCAGAACACCAATGCCTCTCTGCAGCTCTCTCAAAGGTGCAGCCATCCACTACTGCCTGGCCCATGCTGGCCCAGCTGTGCATGGGCGATACTGATGCTTTGCAGTGGCACCTGCATGGGTTTGCAGAGCCCTTAGAAGCACCAGGGCTGCTAATGCTGCCCCACTTGCTGAGGCCACACATGCCCCTGCAGGGCTGTGGGCTCCAGCTTAGCAAGCTATGCTGGGTGGGGGGGAGCTGGGCTCCTTGCAGATGTCCAGCTGTCCCCAGCACACTTTGCTCTGCACTGACTCTTGCGTGCCTGCAGAAAAATACCTGCTGCGTGCAATGAGCACCAGGATCTGGGCCCCCTCCCCAAGTTATTTCCAAGTGTCCTCCTGTTTCACACCTGGATTCCCCTTCCCACCACCTTGAGTATCTTGATAATACAATTTTCTTTCTGCTCCCATGGGCAGTTCAGTTTACTCTTATGTCTCCAGGTCAAAAACCTGGAGCTGCCTCCCAGTAGCTGAAAATGGTTAAAACCAGCAATTCAGCACCTGCCAGGGTCACAAGCATTAATTTCTGACTGTGTCCAGGATCCTGCCACTGCAGGCCCCAAGGGAAGCTTTGCCTGACTCCCCTTCAAGATCCCTGGATGTTGTCATCCCACAGTGCCTGGAGCATCCCTGCCAGGGTTAGAGGCAAGAAGCCCCCAAGCCACTCCATGCAGATTTCCAGCACCCAGAGCTGGAGCACCCCTCCTGGTAGCCAACTCAAACCCTCCTGCATGCCCATCCCTTGCTGCTGCCCCCCAACTGCCCTCTTCACAGTCGTGTTAACTGCTTGGTGACAGTTTCCCCATCTGCTTGTTTCTGGAAGAAACACGTTCTCTAGCCTTTCCAGGTGTGCACAGTCTCACAGCACTGGGAGATTCTCAGACAGGGGTGACTGGAATAAACTCACGTCCATACTGCAGGGGACACCTGTGCCAGAAGTACAGCCTGGATCTCCCATGTCTTTCCTGGACCTCCAGACAACCCTTTCCCCTCAGCACTGAAAAATATCCTTCTGCTTCACCATGCCAGGGCAGGTGGTGTAAAGCATCTGGGG